TTATTTCCTTTTTAGAGTATCCTTTTCAATCTCTCCTTGCGACATAATTTAAGAGTTTTGGTTACCATTAGGGAAAATTACGCTCTCCGTCTTCTGGCATGTAGCTTATATTTGGAGTTTTTTTACTTGGTTTAATTCATATTTGTGTATAAACATCTTTCCAACTCATTATTATACACTTTATATAGGGTTGATATGTATAGTGTTGTACTTATATATTGGGTTACATGGGGTAATATTAATGATGTAAAATTAGTTGGAGTCGGCTCCAAGATTCATTAATGCTATGTACATGCCTATTTCTCCATCTAGAGTTGAAGCTTAGTGTAATAGACTAGTGAAGAAATGAAGCATCTTAGCAACTTCTAAATAAGGGGGGCAAGTTGCTTTTATCATTGGTTGGTGTGATTTATAATTAAAAATAGTGTAAAAAGGACAAAGGTGGGCTATCTTTGAACACACATGCACACACCTAGATAGATTTTAGATTGGGATGGGTGGCTTTAAACAAGAGTTGATTTTGTTTCATTACATGTGTGTGAACTATATAGTAAAATGTAGGACCTAATCTATATAACATTTCATTTTCAATTGAGGTCCCCATTTTCTTGCATTTACTATACTCCAATTATTTCTTTCTTGCTTTTGTTTGCTTTGAATAGTCCTTGTAATCACTTTCACTATACATACTTTACCTCAAGAAAGAAGAAAAGTTAAGTTTGTTGAAAAGGTCACTTCTCTTTTGGATTCCACAACTTGGCTTTCTTTATCTTTTTCTCAAATATTTTACTAAATACGTTGAACCATGAGTTCTCTTTCTTTATCCTCAATCAAATCACGAATTCAAATTCTATTTTATCATCAATACTGAACAAGAGATAAGTAATAGTTTATGTACACCGATATCGTAAAATATTGAGTGTGATAAAAAGTAGAGAAAATTCATAAAATATCATTATACATATATAGGGGTGTGCACTATTCAAATTAAACCGAATAACCAAACCAAATCAAACCGAATTTTTATTTGGATTAATAAATTACTTTGTTTGATTTTTTGGTTTGGTTTCGGATTTTAAAAATAAAAACCGAAAAAAAAAACGAATTTTATATATATATAGGCTTAGAATTAAGTTGGAGTTAACTACTTTTGTCCCTTTTTGGTTATTGCCTTTCATGATGATTACGTTTATATTTTATGTTTGAATTACATCTATAATAGGTATACTTATAAGTATTGTGTTTTAAGTTTTACGTATGATTTTTATTAGAAAGTATATTTAATGGATTAAATATTATTACTTTGGTTATATATGTTATTAATTATTGACCTAACCGAATAACCAAATCGAAAAAAGCCGAATCGAATAAAGGAAAACCAAACCAAACCAAATTTATTTTGAATCGAATTGAATTACACTTTTACAAAACCAAAAACCGAAAATCTAAACCGAATAAAGTAAAACCAAACTAAAAAACCAAATACACACCCCTATACATATATGAACTTATTCTTTGCGAATTATTACCTCCATAAACATGATGTGGCCAAAGAATCTATATTTTGGTTTTGAAAAAAAGAAGGTTTTTATAATGTTGTTTTACTATATAATATCATTAGATGGTGGATATTTTGATAATATCTCAATGTTAGATAGTTGGATTACAATATGGATTTTGATAGATATGTATAATTTTGACCTTGTATTATGGTCCCATTTTTCCAAATTGAACAGCATAGGGCCCTTGAAAGATCAGCATATGTTTAATGGTTTTTTTTTTTTGGCTTCCAGAAGGTCACTTGTGTCCAGATATCTTTTTGCCTTGTAGGCTTGGACACTTTTTTGGGTGTCCTTTTGTGGGACCTATTAAAAAAAATAATTTGCCCACAAAACTTTAAAAAATTCCACTGTGGGACCTACCATTTTATTTTTCTTAATTTGCTCACACCTTCCCAAAACTTAAAAAGTATTTAAAAATATTTATGGAAATCTATCACTATTTTAACCATGGGATTAGGTAGTTTGCTCTTGTTGTATACTCACACGTTTTAAGAAAAGTATTTTATGACATAAAATTAAAGTTACGTCTCACTATAATTTTTTAAATTATTTTTTCAAATTATTTCATTAAAAAATTATAAAGTAGTTAAAAAATAGAAGAAAATTCAATAGTTTTCTTGAATTTTGAATTATATAAAACGTCCAAACAATTCACTTGATATAAGCCAAATGTTACTTGTCTATATTTGACTGAATACAATCCATAGAAAATAATAATTCTAATTAGATATTTAAAAATATATTAATAAATGAATAGTATTTAATAATAAGTGTAAAATAGTGTAAAGTAGTAAATATCTTGATTTTTTTTAAATTTATCAAGTAAAAATAAATATCTATATTTTTAATATAACGAACAAATAAAAGCGAGCGATTCTTACGTTATCTAAATATGAACATTATAATAAGCATTCCAAAGTAGGTCAAGTGAACATCTCATCAACATGAAAACAAGTTGTTGATAAGAGAATATTTGAGAGTTTGCACCTTGAAAGATCATTGTTAATAAGCTAGTGAAAAAAATAAGCACTTCTAAATATTCCAATAAGTAGAAAGAATTTTTTTTAAAAAAACCTATACAATATATTGTATTTAAGAATTGGAAAAGAGATTTTTTTTTCTAGTAGAAAAGAATGAGAGTAAAAATAGAAAGTGCTTTACCTTTTTTTCCTCATTTCTTTTTTTGCTTTCTCTTTTACATTTTGTGCAAAAAAGTAACCAGCCAATTATTCTGAATTCCATCCCTTTATTTTTCAAAGAATAACATAATAAGTAGTAATTATTAAACTTTTCAAAAACTAATAGTCAGATCAAGTTTTTGGAAGGTTAAAAATATTTATTACTACATTATTTTTTAAAAGAAAGTTTTTATTTTAAATAGTGTGGAATTTGGCTAAACTATTGGGAGAAAACAAATGATTCTGCAAAATAATAAAAGTTATTTTTCTTTCAAAAAATAAATTTGAAAAATGACTTTTTAATAGTTTGATTAAATACTATTTGTTATTCAGAAATATTTTAAATTGATTGATCAAAAATAAATTGCTTCTCGTCAGTAGTGCTTATATGAAAAATACTTTGTAAAAATATACTGATTTTAGAAGCTTGACTAAATAAGCTACGAGTTATAACTTAAAAGTTAAGTAACAAATTTGTATGGACCCCATTAATATTATATTGAAAAAAATAATGGGTGGCTAATGATTTTATGTCAAATTATTAAGAGGTTGAAAGGGAAATTCAAAGTTCAATCTTCGTTTGACAAAAGAATAAAACATGCTTTAAATTTGCTTTTGTTTGAAAGACAAAGGAATTAGAAAAAGATTTTGCTTGATTGAGAAAAGATTAGTTGAAAATTATAATTAAAGAAAAGAGAGAAAAAGACATAATGGTAGGTCCCTAAATACTTATATTTTCAACGGCTAAGATTCATAATATTTGTAATTGTGGTCCAACTAAAATAGGAATCAAACTAGTTGAATTAATAAAATGACTTATAATTGGATAAGAAAGAAAAAAAACTAATAAATCTTATCTTGTGAATTGTGATGTATATTCATTGTCTTTTATTCCTTCAATTTTATTACGTGTCTAATTCTCCAACGTTTCTTTTACTTTTTCTTTTTCTTAAATCTTTTTTTGTTTTATGTGTATGGTATTTTATTTATCTATTTAAATAATTGTCACTTTTGAATCTTTCTTTGTTCCCACTATCATCAATCTTATTTTTGGTGGAAAAACTTTTGATATCAGGAAGCTAGTTGGGAGAGGGTATAGTGGATGTACTCTTTAGACTCTGGAAAATTTGTGCATTTATAGTTTTTCTTTCTTTGATATTTGATATTTATATTAGGTTTTGTTCAAGTATGAATTTGTAAGCTATAGAGTTTATTTATAAGAGCGATACTCTTAACACTACAACAAAAACAATATTTACCGACAATAAATAGACATATTAATAAAGAGTGTTAAAGTCTTTACCGACATTAATTAAGTGTCATTAGATTCAATGTCGCTAAAGCCTTTAGGGACATATACAAAGAGTGTTAATTACAACTAAAAATATATATTTAGCGACAATTGTGAATTAATTGCCGCTAAAGATCATATTTGATGTAGTGTATAACAATTTTTTTTAATTCCTAACAATTCGAATTGAAATCTTAAAGATATGAAAAGTTGATTTTAGGTTCGATAGTTTCGAGAAGATATTAGCCACCGGTGATCTTATTCTGCGGCAAGCATACTATGATGCGATATTTATAGGCGGGGAGAGGAGCTTTTTTCATTATTTATCCTATTTTCGATCAGACCTTGCCAATTCACCATTACCACAAACCTCTACTTTGAAATTCAATCATCCCACCACAGCTCAATTGGCGCACTTTGCATACTAATTTTCTACTTTTTTTTTGTTATAATATGAATTGAAATAGTTATCATATCAAATATTCCCACTTGGAATCCTCCTCAATAGATTTTATTTGACACAAATTTAAATTTATCGAGTTCTATGAAAAAATTTATGTACGTCTTACACTCCCAAATTTCATTTATAGGATTATACCATATATAAAAAACAATGAGGGGCTGCCTGGCATTAAATCTTACTATGTGTGAGATTTGGAGAAAGATCAGATCATAAATATCTATTATATGCTGTCTTACTTTATGTTTGTGTAAAAAATTATTTTCATAACTTAAATCCGTAACATGTCACATGCCTATGTTGTGCGACGGGTGCCGACACCATATTTATGAAAAAGAAAAACAATTACCTAACTTATATGCTAGTCAAGATAGGGATGATATATATATATATATATATATAATAAAGTAAATGGTCCCAACCACCAACAATTTGATGTCAAATCATAATAAAATTGACCTCACTAATTAATGTGCAATATCCACTATTATATTCTATATATTTCCCTCATCTTCTTCTTCATCTTCTTTGTACTACACAAATGACAAAGTTATATATAAACAAATTAACTTGAAATTCCATCTACTTCAATAGCCACAACAATAAAAGGTATTTCCATATAGGTCCTTCAACTTCTACTTGTGTATTGAAATGTAGTGGCGGGTAAACCACTTCTTCTTTCGTAAAAATTCAAATAAAATCGAGCTTGAATGGAACTGAATAAGATTTGGTGAACGAATACAAACCAAATTGGAAATAAGCATATATGTGGAGTAAGAATTTGTTTCCATGACAATGCTCTCTTTTCTGATCCTTACACAATGCAATTATCAATTTCCAAGTAAGAAATTATTCCTTCAAATCTTGGTTATACATATATACTTCATTTTGTGTGTCAATTTCTATGACATACTCTATTTTTTAGTTCCTTTTTAAAAAATAATAAATATTTTTTATATTAGTATTTGCAAATATTGGTTTGCTCATTAGTATTTAAAATTAGGATGAAATGTTAAAATAAAATTATTTGAGAAGTATTTCTTTAAAAAAATCACAATTTTTTGGAAAGTTAGAATGTTTTTCTTCTTAACAACACCTAAGTTTGATTATGATAAATACTTATTCACATCGGGTACGATTTACATATAGTTAAGTGACACAATGAGATGAAAATGAACATACATATTAATTTGCTTGGTGTAAAAATTGAATGCAGATAAATTTTTATGTTTGATTAATGTCTTTATTGCCTGTTTATCAAATTAAACTTATACTTGGGGACGTTTGGCCATAGATTTCCCAAGTAATATTTGGGGAAAAATTTGACAAATAGTGTTTGTCCATATAATTTGTTATTATTTGGCAAATATTTTTGGTAAATATTCCAAATTTCCAAATACTAGTTTTTTTTAGTATTTGGGCCAAATCTCATTATTTGGGATCTTTTAAAAATTAAAATTTTATGCCAAACTTTTATCTTTTACAAAAACACCATCTATAGTAATTATTTGCGTTGTATTACATAATTTTTTACGTAAACATCAAAATATTTAAGTCAGGATCCAAAAGAGCAATTTTTTTCCTAAAAAAATATAAATTGTATACCAAATTTTTTTGAACCAAAAAAGCAAAATTACTACCTAGGGAGCGATATCTTTTAACCTGGGCATGCCGTCAAAAACTTCATTCAAAGAAGCGATAATTTTATGGCTACAAATTTTATTTTATTTTTAAAATTGTTGCCATCAAGGAAAATTGCTGCCGAAGAAGTGATAATTTTTAAAAAAAAAAAATTAGAAAATTACTGCCATTGCAGCAAATTAAGTTTTTAAATTAAAATGGTTACAAATTTTATTTTATTTTTACAGAAAAAGTTGGATAGTCATGGACACTACTTGTTATTTATTGCAACGAAGATTCAATTGACTTGTAATATAAATTTATGGTTAGTTTTGATAGTAGTTTTTAAAATTTATGGATATAAATCATAGTTTTCTAAAAAAAGAAATATGTTTCCCAAATACTATGGTCAAACACATAGTAAAATTTCACCCAAATTTTCACTTAAATAGTATTTCTCAAAAATATTTGGAAATTTTTGACCAAACGCTAGCTTAGATTTTGATAATATCTTATTATATATTTTCTTCCTTTGTGAATGCTACAAGTACCAGCTACAACCCTATCAACATTAAAGAATGTTGAAAATTCTATCTCTTAATTATATCTGTGTGTTGAATAATGACTTGATGGCTCCTTTTTAAATGTTAAATTAAATTATTATCAAAGTCATGTATTAGAATACTAATTCTTTTTTTCCTTTGACCCTTTCAATCTTTATTTTGTTTTCAACTTTACTGTACATTGATTGCTTGTTTAATTTCTTAGTCAACAGACAACAGTGTAAAAAATGTGATACAATGCATGTATGCAATAATTGTCACCAGTAGTACTAGTTAGTGGTAAAATAATAATTAGAAAAGTATTAAAAATACTCCTGAATTTGTGATAAATTATTAATTTTGTTTTTAAATTTTTGACAGTTTTAAAAATATTTTTTTACTTGATTAACTAAATTTCGATACATTCTTGATATAGCACATGACATGGAAAGTGAACTCAAACTCTTGTATGAGCATAAAACTCTTAATAAAAAGCCGAAAGAAGTATTAAAAACATTACTAAACTTGAAGAAAATTTAGGAGTGTATTTCACTCATATTGCAAGATATGAAGGGTATATTTAAGTTCAGTTAGTTAAATAAAAAATATTTTTAAAATTACTAATAATTCAAAAATGAAATTAATAATTCATACTTAATTTAGAAATGTTTTCAATAATTCTCTCGGTAACAAGTAAACATCTGGAAAGAGGAAGGAAGTTGCCAAGGATTTTGGAAGTCTGTTGATAGATGTAGGACCCAAAAGTTGTAAGAATTTTGTCTGTATATCAGACAACGTGATACAACAGAATTGCAGAAAATAGAGAAAAATTGTCCCCAAAAAATCCAAAGGGTAAAAACAGAAAAGGGTTACAGTTTGGTCCAATGAAATTCAACTTTCCTTTACCTTTGATTTTGATCTAATATTATAATCGATGTAAAAAAATTAATATTTAAATTTATATAAAATTAAATAATTAGGCACATATATTCTACGTAACATCGGAAGACTTTGTGACAAGGCAAGTCTTCATCCGTCTATTCAAACTTCTGGCAATTGCGAAAATTTGCAATCAAGTTTTGATGCGTGGGTTACTTTTTGCAAAACTTATTTTAATTGGATTTAAACTTAAATAGTGACACTGAAATACCCTATTTATGCAAATTCAATGTTTTCTTTTTGTTTTTTTATTAGGTGTTTGATATCTACGTAGGAGCCTGATTAAATTTGGATTCGAAAAAGTCTGGAGTAAAGCGGTCTGTAACAAAGATGACTATGTATTTAGGAGATTCAAACTCAAAACCTTTGGTTAATAATAAAAGAATACTTACTACTCCGCTCTATAAAATTCAATGCTTTCTCAGACCGACCCACCCACCCACACACATAATAGTGGGCCCTACTTATTTGGCCCACCAGTGAAATGGATTTTGGTAGCTCGGGTCCCATGGCCCATAAAAACCTATTCTAATTTTAGAACACCGGTGACTTTTGACTTTCAGCTCTCGTAAAAGTAGCAAAGTATAATAAAAAGAAAAAAAGAAAAAAGTAATTAATTTTTATTCCTAATTAAATGTCTTAAAAGAAAGATGTATTTTTTTTAATATCTTAAAACTCTGTGTATCAATTAAATAAGGATAATTTTGAAAGAATAAAATCACTTTCTTTTTAAAATTTTTAAAACACTACTTTATTTAAAATAAAATGAAAAATCTAAAACATCACTTATTTTGAACTGAAACGAGAAACATTAATTAGGATCTTATATATACCTCGTGGACAAAACTGACAAATGTGCAAGGCTTAATAATTACATATGTGCATTCTTTATCATGTAGTTAGTGAGTATTTAAGTAGAAAAGTAGGACAAATTAAAGGACATTTAATTTACTTGCCTAATCAATTAAATGTGGATGGACCATCCACCTATGACCTAACTAAGGTTTTTTTTAATTTTATTTTTTACTTTTTAAGTGTGGCCATATATATGGACCACACATATATATATAATAATGATTAATGAGTAGATGGATGAAAAATAATACTACAGGTAGAATGAAAGATCATTAATTATAAGTTTGAGTACCAAAAGTTACTACAGTGAGACTTACCATTTTGATAATCATGTTGAAATGAGGGTTTAGAAGTCTTTTGTCCGGGAGATATAGCTCCTCAGCGAATACATAAAGAGATCTTGTGATTTGATCTGTAGTTCTGTACTAGAGACGGGAAGAATCAGGAATACTCCATAGCTTATAATTTGACATGTTCATGCAATAAAACGATTTAAAAGTAGTGAGATCAGGGAAAGAGATTGGAGCATTAATTCATAATATCGAAGGGTGTTATATTTGTTGGTTTGAACAATCAAAATATTACTTACTCATTGGTGCTATATATGTTCGTTATGATGTCACTCTATTTGTGCTAATTGTTTCCTTTCTCACTTCAAAGGTCATTGTCAATATCTTATTATTCCATATATATTATAAATAACATCAATCAAATCAATGATATAACAATATATTTCCAAGTCACAAAATAGTTCAAGTAAAGTACATGAATCTTGTATATTTCGTACTATATATATGTATATTAAGGCCTACTAGTAAGTAGGTACATTTGTAAAGCTTAACAACTCCTAATTAATAGGGAGCTTAGAACTTTAGGTTGATCCAAGGGGATTAAGCGGCTTATTATTGCTTTGGTATGCCCCTAATGGAGGGCGGGTTGAAGATCATGAGCATAACTGATATGTTTTTAGGGTGACAAACTTCTAAAGATAAGTAGGTGTACATGACATCTTATGTGAATCCCACGTTAGAAGGAGAGAAGAAAATGAAGGATTTTATAAGATATAACATAAATTCATGTGATGTATATGCGTGCATGATTCCCTATGTTTTAATTATCTTCTTCATTTCTCCTTAATTCCCCTACCCCCTATGTATTAATTCAATTTATTTTTTTTGAAAAAAATGTATTAATGTAACCACAATTTGGCTACATCTTTTCCTTTTAAGAGTGTGTTTCAACTAGTTTTTTGTTTTGTTTTCTCCTTCGATTTTTGGAGCCCCGACTAAATCTGCATCGTGCGTATAAAATCCATTCGACGGTGATACAGACCTTTGATTAATAAAAAAATAATCCTACCGTTGAACCACAGTTTGTTGCTGTTTGTAAAAGATGTAGAATTTTGAAGAAAAAATAGCAAAGAAAAAGAAAGAATAATTAAGAGAGTTGAAGCTTCTCCATGCCACTTGACACTATAATAAAAGATGTACAGTTTTTGAAGTTTTTTTTATTTAAAAAAAGATAAATTTCAAATAATAATAAAAAATGAATAATTAAGAGAATTGAAGCCTCTCCATTCCACTTGATACTATAAACGAGTTTTAGATAGAAAATATTATAATTCAGAGTGAGATTACGACAATATTTCATAATTTAAGTATTAAATTTTCAAAACATAAATAATTTAGGGGTATTAATTAACTGTAATCCATAGTTTAGTAGAAAAAGTCAGTTATTTAATTTTTGCTATGCAAATCCTCCATATTTAATATGCTTATAGTCATAGACTATAGTTATTATCATCAACACATTATAACTATTTTTGTTGGTTGTTTTTATCCTCATTTGTACAACTTATATACGCCAAAAATATCAAGAAAAGTCCAATTGACTTACCAAATACAAGAATAATATTATTCTTTTTAGGACTTATGGAGAAATAATTTTTTAATATTTTTCTTGTATTTTCTATTTCCATTATTGGACTGCATGGTATCATTTACTAGTTGGCAGATATTTTTGATAATATTTCAACAGTATTCATCACTGGATTTTATAGTATAAAAAAAGTTGATGAATATGTCACTTATAATTCGTCCTTTATTTCTGGTCCCATTTTGTCCAAATATAACACCACAAACCCATTGAAAGCTCAACAAACTTTTATGAAGTTTTGCCCACAAAATCACTAAAGTTTATGAATGTAATATTTTTTTAATTAAAAATTAAATTAATTATGAATATATTTTAAATAAAACTTTCAAAATAAATATAATATTTTATTTAAAATTATTGAGTTCGATCGATATTTGATTTTGCCCTCGTTGTGTTGGCTATGGATTCTTGTGTTGGTCTCTAATTTTCTGCACAAAAATCAATTGTATGTTATGTGCACTGATATTATATACTCCCTTCGAATATGGCGTATTTTGGGAGTTTTACGGTTCACGAAAATTTATATTTTTTTAGATTATACATAATATTGTTATATTTTTTTAAAAATATTTAAATATACATATGTAAGTAAATTTATAGTTAAAATATCATATTGTATGATAATGATTGAATGTACTTTAATTTTCTAAATAAGGTTAGAAATTTAATCTTATACTTATTTTTTTTTTCTCTCTAAAATTAGGTGTTACCTTTTTATGTGGATATAGAAAACACTTTTGATTTTTAATTAATATATACTCTTTTTATACTTTAATTTTTTAAAATTTTCAAGTCTCTATCATTAGAAATTCCTATTTTTTTTATATAATTAAATCAAATGTATATAAATTAGTACTACTTAATGATATAATATACAATTAATGAGTTCAACTAATCTTAATATACATTCGACACAAAAATATATATATATATATATTATATAAAAAAATCAATTTTGGACCTATAATTTTAGAAGTTTAACGGATTCGTAAGATTCGCTAGACATGTCTAGTGGTAAATTAGCTTTAAAAAATAAAAAAAATCAAAGATATATCATAAATTCACTTTTTCATAAAAATGCACTCATCTTCTCAAAATTTTAAATACGCTACGTCCCATTTAAAATAAGTATTTTCTTTATTTACTTTTACTTGTATTAAACAAATTATATGTATTAATATTACTAAATTGAACGAACATATGCAACTCTAATGTAATAGCTATAAATTATAATTAAATAAATTATTGTTACTAATAATAATTATACTTTAAACTATAATTATTCATGAAATTTTCATTTTAAAAAAGTAGGTAAAAAACATAGTAGGCAGTGGGTCCTAAATAGTTGCTAACTTTTAAGAGGTTAGATCCATTATTGATGATATTTCAATATGTGGTCCAATTAGGATAGACAAATGATTGGTAACCAAAACAGTTGAATCAATTAATCGACTTATAAATAAAGGTCCAAAATCTTACTCCCTCCGTCTCCCTCCGTCACATTTTATATGTTACCTTTTTAATTTACACTTATATTAAAAAATGATGTAACTTTACCCTTTTTTCTTTATTTAATATTTTCTTAAATTAACTTTATTAATAAATGACAAGATTAATCAACTATTCTATCAAGGGTAAATGGGCAAAATATGATAATTTATGCATAAATTTTATAAAATGACAAATATTGTGGTACAATTATTTATAGAAAGAAATAACATATAAAATGGGACGGAGAAAGTATCTTAGAATATGAATAATACTATATTCATTGGCTTTATTCCTTTAAAATTTACGTGTCGAATTCTTTTACACTCTTTCTTGTATAGGTGGATAAATGGGTGCATTATCTATAAAGTGTGTTCCTACTTCGTATTATTAGGTAGTTATTTTAATTTTACTATTATTTTTTTAAATTTTTACTTAAAGAAATAATATAAAAATTATTATAATTAATTTTGTTTTTTGTAAAAATAATTTGAAGCCTTTTATATTTAGCTAATTTGATTTTCTGAGAACTTTTTTTTTTGTACTCTTATAAATTGATGATTCTTTTTCTCATTTTTGAGGAAATCTTGGTTTGAGGCATAATTTTCGTTTAATGTTTTGTATTCTCTTTTATATTAGTGAAACAAAGATTCATGAGTAGTTGATGGAGGTGAGGTTGCTGAATTTTGAGGTGTCGGTATCAATTTATGCCGAATTGCTCTATGTGTCCCTCGAACCAAATTTACTCGCATGTATTTAATTGACTACATGTATAGATATATCTTTTGATATATTTTTCTTTATTGTTTCATATTTTTTGCACGACTTCTTCATTACTGTAGTTTAATTTCTTTTCATACTTGATTCTGTTGTGCTTTACTTGAACCAATGATTTATCGGAAATAGTCTTTCTACCATCACAAAATAAAGGTAGGGCTACATACACATCACTCTCCTCATATTTCTCTAAATTTGTTATTGTGTCTTATTTCATTAGCTTTTGCATGACACTTGATAAATACTACCTATGGTTTTGAAGAGTCTCAAAGATTATATAGAGAAAAAGTTTTTAAATATTTCATAATTATATTTGAATTAATGTACATATTAATTTCAAATTCCATATCCACTCATGACTAAATTGGGCCTTGGGGTCCATCACATATGGATAAATTCAGCAATAATGTAAAGGTCCCAACAGCAATTGAATTGACCTTTAGCTGAAAATTATTATTCTACTACTTTTAGAAAAATAGAAAAAGCCAATAGCAAAGGGTATAAATAAACAATTAATCTTGAAATATTCTCTTGAAGCTTTTTTGGCTATGGAACTCTCAAGTGTATCTGCATTTTGGAGAAAAAGGTTAGATTTTTAAAGTCTCAAGAAGAATATTAGCGAGTGTGTAGGACGTATGTAGTTATCACGAGCACAAAGGAAACGAAATGGATACAGAGAATTCATATAATCGATCTTAAATAGTTTAAGATCGAAGCGTGATTGATTGAAAATTTTTGTGATTGCTTAATATCTTGATTGCCTCTCTTCAAATTTTAAGATGCAAATTCTAATTCTTCTTCTTCTTTTAAAATTCTTTCTTAGTTCTTTTTTTGGTTTGTTTTGGTCTATTATTAGTTTGTATTAGGAAAAAAATAATTCAAATTTATAGACAATCAGTCTACCTAGGAATAGCGTTTACTATCCACTTTTCAACTGTATTTTAAAAAAAAGTGTCATCTTGAGTCTCAAAATCAACTATTTGAAAATTTAACTTGTAAATTTAAAAACTCTAGAATAATAGTTATTTTTCAATTACGAGAGGCCAGAAAAGGCTAGGCAGCTAACTATGGAATTTTTCCGTACACATTCTATAATATTTGACATTATTTCTTTAATAATATTCTTACTACAGATTTATGAATTAATTTACCAAGTTTTTAGTTTTGGAATATTGTTCTCTCTCTCTCTCATCTCTAAAACATTTTCTCCTACTACTTTTGAAAAGACAAGTTAATCTTAATTATGATCTTCTATTGACTGGATTTAAATAGATGAATTTTAATTTAGTATCAATTATTGGAGTTTCTATAATGTCTTTTGATAGATCATTACATTAAAATTAAAAATTAAACTCTACTAGTCAATAAAGGACAGTGTAAAAGTGCATTTTTGTATAATGAATCTAGGCTACCTTTTCATTTGTCTAGTTTGCACCTCTCTTAAGAACAATAATTAATATGAATATCTTATCACAATGATTATATTTATTAATCTATAATCTAAAATTTTGAGAATTTTATTTTAAAAATAAGTAATTAATACTGAGGATAAAATAGATAAAAATAATAATTATATTTTTTAATATGTTAAAAATGTTAAGTAAAAGTGAAAATTTATTTTAGAAATAATAAATAAGTAAAAGTAAACGGATCGAATGGGTATTAGTCAACAAGTATAGTGTTATATATCTAACTATTTTGGAAGTTGGATGATGCAAATATTCAAAGAAGACAAAATTGATAGATAGCAAACATTAACCTAACACTTGTGGCAATTTAGTGGTGAAATTTCAAATGCCAACAAAAATCTCTTATTTTCTTCTTTTCCTTTTTACATGTATTGGCCTCTTAAGATGGTGTAAACATATATTCATATTGATCAGAATTCATATAGTTTAACTCTTAAAAAATAAAATATGCAAACGTCTAGGCATAGAAAAAGTATAACTTTATATATAGACATATGATATTTTATTGATATAAACATTTGATGCGAGTAAATTTTTACTTAATTATGATGTGACAAAA